TTATTTCTACTTTTTTAAAAAAATATTAACATCTATTTGATAGTTGCATATTCTGCACCATACTCTCAGCTAAAAACTGAGTATTTTATTCCATATAAATTCAACAGTCCTATAGAATAAGCAAGGAACTCGTATAGTAGCGGTAAGAAGCTGTACTGCAAAACCAAAGGCATGCTATTAAAATCTACCAGCTGCTCCACTGAGAGAAAAATGGATAGTCTCTTCCCATGCAATTTACTGCTTCTGAAAACCTTCTGCAGGGCAAGCTATGGGTTGGTTCCAACTTGACAGCACGTAACAACAACAATGAACGAGCACTACTATAGAAGATCAAAGACTGTTGTTATGTGCCATCAAGGTGTCTTCAACTCATAGTGACCCTATGTACAATAGCTCTGAAGCCTGCCCTGTCCTGAGCTAGTCTCACTGACTCCAACACATCAACCTTTATTGCTCCAGTCACTGTGTCAATCCATCTTATCAGCGGTCTTCCTCTCCTGCGCTGTCCCTCCACTCTTCTGAGCATGATATCCTTCTCCAAGGATAGGTCCCTCCTAGCCGTGTGCCCAAAGTATGTGAGATGGAGCTTCAAAATCCTAGCCTTCGAGCAGAAACTTGGCTTCACCCTCTCCAAGGCAGACCTATTTGCATTCTTTGCAGTCCACGATATGTTCAAGACTCTTCTACAGCACCAAAATGTAAAAAGGCATCAATTCTTTTTCTGTTATCCTTAGTCATTGTCCAGCTCTCTGATGCATAGCAAGTAATTGTGAAGACCATGGCCTGGATCAGGTGCATCTTAGTCTCTAGACTGACATCATTGCTTCCCAGTACTCTGGAGAGGTCTTTGATTTTCCCAGTGCAATTCATCTTTTGATTTCCTGACAAGAGTGTTGATTGTGGAGGTGAGCAAGTTGTAATTGTTAACTACCTAAATCTCTTTTCCATCTATCATAGTGCTGCCAATTGGCCTAGTGGTGAGTATTTTGTCTTCTTGATGTTGAACTTATATCCATATTGAAGACTATAGTCTTTGATCTTCTCCAGCAAGTGCTTCAGTTCCTCCTCCGTTTCAGCAGGCAAGGTTGGGTCATCTGCATAACATAGATTCTTGACGAGTCTTCCTCCAATATTGATGCCACATTCCTCCTCATAAAGCACCACCTCCCAAATGATCTGCTTTGCATATAGATTTAAAATGTATGGAGACAGGATGCATCTCTGATGCACTCCTTTCCAGATTTTGAACCATGCAGTAAGTATTTCCTTGCTCTGTTCTATCAAGAATATCACTGAAAAGGAATGTAAAAGGTCATACAAAGACAGAGAAAGAAGACGACCAAAATGGATGTCAGAAGAAACTCTGAATATTACACTAGAGCACTGAGAAGCCAAAGCAAAGGGAAGAAATCAAGAAGTTAAGGACCTGAACAGAAGATTTCAAAGGAAAGCTCGAGAAGACAAAGAAAACAAAGTATTATAATGAATGTGCAAGAAGCTGGAGTCAGAAAATCAAACGGGCCAAACTTGCTCAGCATTTCTTAAGCTTGAAAAAACTAAAGAACAAATGCAAGCCATGAGTTGCAATACTTAAGAATGCTATGGGCAGAATATGGAATGACCCAGGAGGTATTAAAAGGACAGAAAGAGTATACACAGTCACTGTACCAAAAAGAATTTGCTGACACAGAAGAATTTCAAGAAACAACATATGATCAAGAAGCATTGGTGATGAGGGAAGAAGTGTAGGCTGCTCAGGATTTGGCAAAAAAATAAAGCCCCAGGAATTAATGGCATACCAACTGATGTACTTCAACATACAGAAGCTGCCCTTGGTGTGCTCACCAGGTTGTGACAAGAAGTCTGAAGGAAAACTACCTGGCCATACATAAATATGGAAGAGATCCATATTTATTTCCATTACAGGTGACCTGACAGAGTACGGAAATTATTGAACAATATCATGAATATCACATGCAAGTAAAATTCTGCTAAAGATCATAAAAAAACGACTTAAACAGTACATCAACAGAGAACTACCAGAAATACAAGCTGGGTTTAGAAGAAGTTGTGGCTCTAGAAACATTATCACCAATGTCTGACGGTTCTTGGTAGAAAGCAAAGAGTACCAGATAAATGCTTATCTGTGTTTCATTGACTATGCAAAGGCATTTGACTGTGTGGATCACAACAAATGGTGGCTAATCTTGAGGATCAAAGACTACAACCTTCAATAGGGATTGCATCGCAACATCAAGAAGACAAAAATCCTCACCACTGGATCAATAAGCAACATCATGATAGATGGAGAAAAAATGGAAGTTGTCAACAATTTCATCTTTCTTGGATCTATAATCAACACCCATGGTATTAGCAGTCAGGAGATCAGGAGATGCATTGAATTGGAAAAGTCTGCTGTCAGGGACTTCTCCAAAATTGCTGAGGAGTGATGATGTCAGTCTGAATAGGAAGGTGCACCTGATTCAGGCCATGACCTTTCTAATCACTTGCTATGCATCTGAGAGCTGGACAGTAAATAAAGATGACAGAAGAACTTCTGCCATTGAGCTGTGGTGTTGGAAAAGAGTACTAAATGCCCCATGGACTGTCAAAAAATAAACAGATACAGCTTGGAGAAAGTGCAGCTAGAATGCTCTTTGGAAGTAAAGATGACAAAGGTTTGTATCACATACTTCGGGCATGTTGCTAGGAGAGGCTGTTCCTTGTAAAGGGACCTCATGCTTGGAAAAGTGAAGGGTCAGTGAAAGAGAGGAAGCACCTCAAAACAATGGCTGCAGCAATGGGTGCAAGTGTATCAGAGATGGTGAGAATCACACAGAATAGGACAGAGTTCAGATCTGTTGTTCATAAGGCCACTACTATGAGTTGTACTTGACTTGACAGCACCTAACAACAACCATGGATCATTCATTCTTTGTGTACTTGCTCTCAGTCATAAAAACATTGCTCAAGTCTGAACAATATCTTCCTTTGATCCCATGATGTATATAAGCCTCAGACTTATGTTCTTACTTCCCTTTACTACAAAAGTTCTTCACATTCTCTCTTCTTCCTTATCTCCCACTTATCCCTCAAATCTTCTTTACTGATTGTGAAAAAAGAGCATCCTGATTGTGGAATTCAAGGGTACTTTTTACTTGATGTCTGCCCCACTCAAGAGCTGCTGAAGCCCTTTTGCTTTAAACATTTCTTTCCATCAGCTTCCATAAGAACGCACTCTCCTGTTATTCTTATCACTTTGAAAATGCCTACTTGACTTTGTTCTTGAGTCACTTTTCCTGAGCTCATCCGCTAAATGTCAGTGCTCCCCAGGGCTCTGTTCTCCTCCTTTCCTCTGCGTGATCTCGCTTATTCTCATGATTCTATCACATATAGACCAGCACTGTGTATATTTATGTCTTGGCTCAAATTCTGCCCTGAGCTTTACTCTCATCTCTGGGGCACACTGAAGAGCAATACTTGGGTTTTCCCCAAATGAAATTCGTTATTATCAATTTCATATCCATTTTTTCTCCCAGAATCCATAAATTGGTGCACTCTATTTTCATATCACAATGTAAACTAAAACCAAAGCAGGTAGGCATTCTTACTCCAAGATTTCCCACTCGGTTGCAAAGAAGAACTTCTACAAATGTATATTTCATTTTACTGTACTTTCTTTTATTGTATTTCATATAATTTTTTTTTTAAATAAACAAAGAGTGTGACAACCCTGCATTGATCAAGCGTATGTGTGTGTCATTTTTCTAGTAGCATGTACTCACTTTTTTGACTTGGTGTCATATTTTGGTAGTTCTCATAATAATTCTAACTTTTTCATGAAGTGGTACAGCACTGATCTGTTAATTTGCTGTACAGAAGAAACTTGGTATTGCTGTGATGCTCAACGCTGTGCCATTGTTGTCTCTAATGCCCTAACGGTTACCCATGGTGGATAGTGTTTCGTGGAGCTCCCAGATTAAGACATACTTGAAAGGGGTGGCATCCACTTCCAAACAACATGCCTGCAAAAACTCTATGAACTTGGAGAAACTAGTTATAAACCAGGATTACAGTCTTTTGTTCATAGGGTCTCTATGAATCGTGAGTGACTCGATGGCACTTGACAACAAACACACTGTACCCATAGGGAGCACAGGTGGCTTAATAGTAAGGAATCTTGCTGCCAATGCTAAGGTATATGGTTCAAATCCACTGGCTGCTCTGTGTAGGAGAAAGATGGGTAATCTCTTCCTGCATGTTTGACTGACTCTGAAAACCCACTGGAAGGTGAGCCATGGATTGGTTCTGCATTGACAGTACACAACCACAACATCTGCACACTTAATAGACTACATTATATTGTTATTACTGTTAAGTGCCATTTGAGACTGACTTTCATATGCACTTGGAAATCAGACAATTCAGGTGACTTTGCTTTCTCATAATATGTGTTTTCTTGTGATGGTCTAGAACAGAATCCAAGACATATCCAAGGTATATCTAAAATAATTTACTTTCACTGTTTCACATGATGTTTGGCCTCCAGGCATAATATTATTTTCACAATTAAATAGCAATTATCATCACACTAGTGAATGCTTTCAATGCACATTGCAACTGTATGGTGTGACTGATGACTTACTTTAGTGTGGTTAAGGTGAGAAAAAAGTAGCATATTTCACAAGGGGTAAAAAGAGGAAAATGTCTTGTTTTCTTAGTATCATGGTAGGGTTAAGTTTTATCTTGTTCCCTGTCAGCTGTCCATCTGTACTGAAATTCTAAGTCTCCACTAAGCTTCTACCTGCTTAGGATGACTCATTTTCTCTAGAAATAACATAGAGAGATTTTCTCCCTGACACAGCATAGGTATATTTTCTTCTATAATCTCTGATTCAGCCTGCTTACTGTTTTCTGAATCTTTGCTAATATTCACCCATATATGATGTTCAGAGAGTGCTAGTAAGAGTGAACACATGGAGAGATTTCACCATATTTACCTTCTAATTCTTTTATTATCATCAGGCATATCAGTATCTGGGTCGAGTTGATAAGTAAGAAATCCAGTACCAAAGAGATCATATTCCAAGTAACAGCCGAGTTGAGCAAACTCTAGAAGTTTCTTCTTATCAAGCAGTGTCCTAGAAACAATAAAATAGACAGATTGATATGATTATATGCTTTTCACATTTGAAGATTAAAAATTCAAAGTTCAGTTTGTTCTATAACATAGTGTAAGTCAAATAACAGAACTTTTGAGTTTGTTCTTATGATATCATGATAAAATAGTTCAATTATATAAAATAACTTACTTCTCAAAAAGGGAGTTTCCCCCTCCAACACGTTCCTTAGGAAACTATTACAGACTCTTTTATTAGGCTATAATTACTCAAAAATAATTCTGTAATTCTCTTTCAGAACTGTTTTCAAGTTACATCCCTCAATTTTTTGCAAGTAATTAATAGGGTAAATTTTTGCAAATAATCAATAGGGTACATTTTCATGCTCTGAATACTGTGAATTTTAGAAAATATAAAAGAAAATTTAGCCTCAGACCTGGTAAATTATATGAATAAAACAAATTTGAATTAAAATAGAAATAAAATAGGGTTTTGTCTTAAGGTCACAGGGCTGATTTTCTTGTAAAGTTTCTAACTCAACTCTGTCATTCAGTTGGTTTTCAAGAGGTTGTAAACAACCCAGGAGGAGATTTTCCATCCTGCTCTGTCAGAGCTGCTGGTGGATTTGAACTACCAGAGAGATGCTGTCTTTAGGATAGCAGTGCAACTCTTTACAGACTAGGCCACCAGAACTCCCTAAAATTCATAATGTTGTTAGGTGTTGTCAAGTCAACTACTATAGTAACCCTAGGAATGAGGCACCTGAACTTTGCCATCTCTTTGTGTACAATTCATGAAGTCATTTTAAAATTACTCCCTAAGCCTATGCGAATACCACTCCAGTGTTTATTATTTTTCCCCGAAGAAATAATATTAATATAAATATTTATGTTTGACTGTGCTTATCTTTTAATACAATGAATTATTTTAGAATTATTTTTACTGATGTCTTTTCATTTCAATTGATATTATACTTAATATATCACTGTTTTAGAATATAAGGCTATGTAAGTGAATAGTAAAAGAAAGAAGTGCAGGATAAAAATAGCAGACCCACAAGGGATATTCTAAAGCAAGAATAGATGTTTACAAGAAACTTAGACTGTATCAAGTAAGAAGGCATGGCTGGATTAAGGTAACCTGAAAATGCTGTTGTAAAGATTCAGTCCTATTAGAAAAAAAAGTAAAAAAATCTAGGAGAAAATACACCCGCTGGACATCACATACAACGAATTGAAAACTAAGAGGAAAGGGAGGTTTAAAGACTGAGAACTGCCCTGTAGAGTTGGGATACCAGTTAAGCATATCTTGTTTATAGAGCTCTGGTGGCTTAGTATGTCGGGGGTTGTGCTACCATCCCAAAGGCTGTGTGCCCCTCTAGTGGTTCAAATCCACTAGCAGCTCCAGTGTGATTTACAATCTCAGAGACCCTGTGAAAGATCTGCTCTAACTCAACCACAATGAGATCTGAGTTACTATCTTATTAGAGTTTTATTAGCCCTGATGTTATATATTTTGGCAACTATAGGATGCAAGGATTAAAGGGCCATTATATGTCTATATATCTGCTTTAAGAGGTGTCAGAAGTATTTTCAAAGCATAGGAGGACTAATGAAGTCTCTGTGTGTCACAGGTGCCAGAGATTTCTGCTTTCCTGGGACGCTTCCTGGACTGTGACTATTGACTTTCAATCTGAGCCATCATATCTGAGGAATGGCTCACTCCTCTTTATTCCAGTCACCCATTTAGCATAATTTATACTTAACAATACTGTTTTAGGCAAAGAGGCTAAAAAAATCTTTCCTTTACTGTATAAAATGAGCATTATTTCTGAACTGTCTTCTATTAATACTTCTCTATTTCCATCTTCCTACCATGGAGACCATCAATTGCCTCCAAAATTACTAGCCTCAAAGAATATGTCTTTCTCTAGTAAACATATTCCGTTTTCTTCAGAAAACATACTTAGAAAGAAATTAAACACACTTAAAGAAACACGAGGGAGAAGAGATAAATTTACTATTTTCCTTTTGTGTCAATTTTATCAATGTTGTAAATTACCCAACACAGACAAGGTAAGGGAGGGAAGCAAAGGGGAGGATGGATGCCAGTAACAAATTGAAAGTTTATATCTTAGCTCTTAGTACCTTGCCCTCCCTGTGGCTTAATGCCTTGATGGGATTGTTGTTGTTGTTAAGTGCTATGGAGTCGTAGATGATACATAGTGACCCTATGAACAAAAGATCTGAACACCTGTATAACTTTCATCATTTCTCTAAGTTCATAGAGTTTCCGGAGGCAAGCCATTTCAGAAGTGGATGCCACTCCTGCTTCCAAGACTGTTTTAAATTGGGAGTTCCACCAAACACTGTTCACCATGAGTTGGATAATCATTATCACATTGGACACATCAGTGTGACAGTGTTTAGCATCACAGCAACCACAAGTTACCTCTGTACAGCAAATGGGCAGACCAGTGCTATGCCACTTAGAAGAATATTTGACCAAAACCAATAAAAAGCAGGCCTGAGGGCCGCAGATTAAAATCGCCCACCTTTAGCTTGGCTTTCTATCTACTAGGCCAACAGAGCTCTTTATGACACACAGGCAATTCTATGAACAACAGACCTAACCCTTGCCCCATTCTACACCATCCCCACAATCCGAGACATTCTCGAACCCATTGTTAAAGTCCATCGTGTTCAGGATCTTCTTTTCTTCTCTGACCTCCCACTTCTCTCAGCTTGATGTCATTTCCCAATGATTGGAAACATAACTGTATTGAGATATATATCAGAGAAAAGTCCTCACAGTAAATGAAAAGCCATAAGGAAACCATAACTATGACTTTATTCCAACTGAAAACAAGAAGGGAAGTTGTTTTGTCATCATCATGGCAATTGTTGCTGTTGTTGTGTGCCAAAAAGCTGGAATAGACTCATAGAGACCCTCCAGATGGTTTACAGAGGCTATAAATAACAGGGGAAGAGACTGTCTACCTTTTTTTTCCTTGGAGTATCTGGTGGATTTGAACCACATGGCTTAGAGTTGGCGACACAACTACTTACAACTAGGACACCAGAGCTCCTATCATAATAAGAGATGACAGGTATAAGGACTACCCCATGTCCCTATCACCCATCTGTCAGTTCCTCCTAATGTTATGTCTTGCATGTTGGGATGCTAGATGCTGTGCCAACAGTCTCAAAGATCAGCAAGGTCACTCATGGTGGATGACTTTCATCAGAAATTGCAGATTAAGAAAGGCTAGAAAGAAGTCTAGTGATTTACTTCTGAAAATGAACCACTGAAAATTTTATAGACCACTACTTACTTTGACTTTCCCATGGCAATACATGTTCTAATTTCCTGGCTGCTGGTGCCGAGAGTGTTGACTGTGGAGCCAAGCAAACTGAAGCTGTGAACAATCTCAATCGCTTCACCATACATCCTGGTGCTGCCAATTGGCCCAGT